GGCAGGGAGCCCAAGCATTTAAACCCCCCATCCCACTTCCCCGAGTTTCTTCACAAAAGCAGAGAGGCTCAGGGAAGAAAGGGGGGTGTCTGCCTGTGGGCCAGGGGGAAGTGGGGGGAGGCTCTCCGATCCTTCCCCCACTCGCCCACTTCAGTAGGCGGGCCTGGGAAGGCACGGGGAGTCATTTAAATACCTCCCGGCTCCTTGCAGGGCCTTCTCCGGCTTGCCCACCAAGGCGGGCGGGGCCAGGGAAGGCTGGGGGGCTCCCACCACCACCCCACCTGAAACACACCCACCCACCCCCAGGGCCGCACCAACTTACCTTGCCTTCTGGCTGGTGGTGGTGGTGGCTGAAAGCAGAGACAGCACATGCTGTTTCCTGCTCCTCCTGGCCCAACTGAGGGCTGCTGGGGGCGGGGCTTGCTGCATGTGCCCGCCCCTGGGCTTGTTACTGCCGGAACGCCGTCACAGGGCATTCCAGCTGGAAATGACCCCTGGAAGTGACTATTAATGTATTAATCATGGCTCACTAAAGAATGTGAGTAGGAATATTGTCAAGTGTCTTGCACCTTTAAAACTTACTGTAAAGCACTGTTTTCAGCTAAAAGTCCTGAAATTGATGCTTTACTAATTTATTTTCTAGGTACTCATTAATCTCCATGGCTATTAATTTAAGATTTAAATGTGTTAAAATAAATAAGACTTAAATGTGCTCAGTGTTGACTGAATCACACACTAAAATGTTAGTCACAGCTTTTTTATTTTATAGGGATATTTTAACTTCTGAAGATCTTACGTGGTACTCCTGAGTCATCTTGAAAAACCTGTGCCATATTCATCACATCTTCAGTTGCATGTTTCACTAAAAGTTCTGAAACAAAGCAAAGCAATGACTAATTGGTTAAATGAGTTAAATTATGAAAATAGATTAAAATAGGAACAGCACAAGGGGAAGCCTGAGATATGCATTAGAAGGAGGGAATCAGCAAAAATCTCCCTTCCATTAGTAGAAATTTACCACAAAATCCAACCTCAGAGTGAGTTTTAAATAAAATTATAATTTTGTGAATTTTATTGGATTTTATGGAATTTTATGTATGGGCTTATGCCTTTATAAGCCGCCCTGAGCCCGCTTGCGGGGTAGGGCGGGGTAGAAATACCTGAATAAATAAATAAATAAAATAATTTTTACCTTCTACAATATTTTTGGGGTCTCTTGGAACAGCTGGTGGTGGTGCTAATGGTCTTCTCTTTTCCCTGTAAAAATTTACAGAACTGTATATGTTAAATCTAATCCTCCAAAATGCATGTCAGTAATAATGTTCTGAAAATGATTTTTAACTAGGCATAATTCTGATTGTAAAAACTTTTATCCTACATCAAGAATACCTATTGTAATAATGAAGGTATTTTATAGTAAAATGTAGCTTTCTAAACAATATGCATACAGATAAATATTATTTCTATGTAAGACAAGTAATATCAAAATAATATATAAGAGAACAAAGAATGGCTTTACAAATTTTTGTGCTAGTCAAAATCATGATTTATTTTTACTTTGATCATACCCATTTCCAGTTTCCACACGAACTTGTTTTGGAATAGGCAATGTATAGTGTACAAAGAAGACTAGAAGACACTGCAGGTGGGCAGCAAGAAGAAAATTAGACAGGGCAGTGAGCTCAGCACTTTTTCTGTTAAATGTCACTTCCTGTCTGTCTCCAGATTGCTACTCTTAGGCTGCAGTCACACGAGCCGTTTGCCGCGATATAGTAGTGTTACCTTTGCAGATTTAAAAAACACAATCAAATGACAACAGCTGCCTTCTGTGCCCCAATCGTCACCACCCTGTGTTCCTCCACATTGGAAATGGAGTGATCAGGCACCGGGGAAAGTCCAGTATTAAGGGATGCCAGCACTTCCACCTTGCATTTCCTGACGTCTGAACCACGGTGTTGTGAAGTCCAGCCATTTGGGAAGTCTGACCCTTCCCTTCCTGCCTCCTTTGGTTTGTTCGTTTTGTGTGGGGGATCAGGTATCTATGTGTGCATAAGCAAACAGCCCCTGGCGTTGTCAATCACTGTAGCCAAGTAGTCATTTCTGGATCAGGAGTCCTTGGGGGAGTTGTTTTCGAGCAACAAAACCCCCCATGGGAGAGCATTCCACGACGGACACAAGGGTAAATGTATTGAAGTCAATGGGACTACTCTTGTATAAATCTGCACTTTACCCTCCCCCACCATATTACACGGATGAGAGGCGAAGGGAAGGAGGCTGAGAGGGGCCAGAGTACCTGGCAGAGAGATTGTGGAGCTGTCAAAAATGAGCTGGAGCTTTGAATACATGCTTATGAGCATGGATGAAAGACAAAAAAACAAAAGAATGCTGTAACAATCTGAATGATCAACCAGGGGGCAAATGGCAGTCAAGCCAGTTCAGGGTGGGATGTCTGATCAAAATTTCCCACAACTATTTAAACTGCCGCAAATAGAGGCACAGCCATATAATGCCAAGCCTCCAGTGTGACTGCAGCCTTAGGGCAATATCCTGCTTCTTCCCAGAAGTTCCACACTTAGCCTCTCTCTCTCAGCTAGTGATGTAGTTAGGACACTGTCTCTCCTCTTCACCATCAAGTATGTTAATTCCTGAATAAAGCTTTTCTACACCTTAATTAGGTTGTGCATCTTTGCTGTGTTACTCTGCCAACAACTTATTCGTGTGAAACAGCCATCACAGATCAATCTTCACAGAGCTTTAATATCACCTATGGTTACCTTAAACACAACACTTTTTAATAGAATGTTCACATATTTCACATGAAGAAAGCAGTCTCAAGATATTCTAAGTGAAACAATATGTGGATATTCCAGAGTTCTTCTCTTCAGTTTTTTAAACAATAAGTTACTGATTCTGTTAAGGTGTACACAGACATCCTAAAAGACTACAGCAGACCCAAATCCTGTCAGTGTTCATTAGAGAGAGAGATTTCCCTTTTTATCACACAATTGCTCTCATTTCACATGCTAGCAAGGTCATGCTCAAGATCCTAAAAGCTAGGCTTCAGCAGTACATAGATAGAGAACTGCCAGAAGTACAAACTGGGTTTTGAAGAGGAAGAGGAACTAGGGATCACATTGCCAACATTCGCTGGATTATGGAGAAAGCAAGGGAGTACCAGAAAAACATCTACTTCTTCTTCATTGACAATGCTAAAGCCTTTGATTGTATGGATCACAACAAACTATGGCAAGTCCTTAAAGAGACAGGAGTACCAGATCACCTCACATGTCTTCTGAGAAACCTGTATAAGGGTCAAGAAGTGACAGTTAGAACAGGATATGGAACAACTGATTGGTTTAGCATAAAAAAAGGAGTATGAAAAGGATGTATATTGTCACCCTGCTTATTTAATTTATATGCAGAGTATATCATGTGAAATGCCGGCCTGGATGGATCACAAGCCAGAATTAAGATTGCTGGGGAAAACATCAACAACCTCAGATATGCAGATGATACCACTCTAATGGCAGAAGCCTCTTGCTAAGAATGAAAGAGGAGAGTGCAAAAGCTGGCTTGAAACTCAACATCAAAAAAACTAAGATCATGGCATCCAGCCCCATCACTCCTTGGCAAACAGAAGGGGAAGTCATAGAAACAGTGATGGACTTCATGTTCCTGGGATCCAAGATCACAGCAGATGGGGACTGCAGCCATGAAATTAAAAGACGCCTGCTCCTTGGGAGGAAAGTGATGGTAAACCTAGACAGCATAATAAAAAGTAGAGACATCACCCTGCCAACTAAAGTCCATATGGTCAAAGCAACGGTATTCCCAGTAGTACTGTGTGGCTGTGAGAGTTGGACTATAAGGAAGGCCGAGCGCCGAATAATAGATGGTTTCAAATTATGGTGCTGGAGAAGACTCTTGAGAGTCCCTTGGACTGCAAGGAGATCAAATCAGTCAATCCTAAAAGAAATCAACCCTGACTGTTCCCTGGAAGGCCAGATAATGAAGCTGAAGCTCAAATACTTTGGCCACCAAATGAGAAGGGAGCACTCACTGGAGAAGACCCTGATGCTGGGAAAGACTGAAGGTAAAAGAAGAAGTGGATGGCAAAGGATGAGATGGTTAGATGCAATGAACATGAAATTAAGCATACTCCGGAGAACGACGGAAGACAGGAAGGCCTGGCGTGATGTGGTCCATGCGGTTGCGAAGAGTCGGACTCGACTGTGCGACTGAACAACAACAAAAATGCCACTTATGTGTGATGGAGAAATGATGTACTACTCGGACATGGTATGCTTTGCTCCCTTTTCCGATAATGCACCTGCACCCACCTCCAAGTAGATCAGCTTGCCTGTCTCTACCCATCAGTGTCATGCACAAAACCCACAAAGACAGAGGTATGTTTCTGGTTACAAAGCAGCAGCTTTAGCAGAATTATTTATTGAGGATTTTCTATTCTGCCTTACTGTTCTAAAACAATATTCAAGACAGTTAGCAAAGGTAACAATAAGCCAACATAATAACACCATATAAATCATACAGCATGAATTCATACCAACAACACCAGCATTATCAGCACTAAAAAAAAAAAAAATAGAGACCTCAGGCTGACAAAGTAGAAAATAAACAGGTTGGTTACCTGTAACTAGTGATCTTCGAGTGGTCATCTGTGCATTCACACCCATGGGATCTAGTGCGCACGCGCTGGATCGATCGGCATTGTAGCAAGCTCTTTAACAGATTTTCACACCCATACCTCGGGCATGCGCAGGAACCCCACCGCACATGTCCAGAGGGATGGGCGCGGACATCCTGCCAGTTCCTTCACACCGCCGCGAATCAACCCCTATTTGAAATGTAGAAGCTGACAGCAGTGGGGAAGGAGGGCGGGTGGTGTGAATGCACAGATGACCACTCGAAGATCACCAGTTACAGGTAACCAACCTGTTTATCTTCGACGTGGTCTCTGTGCTTCACACCCATGGGAGATTAGCGAGCAGTGGCCTACCTGGAGGAGGGTGCTGGCAGACGTCTAGGGCGTATTGCCTTATGAAGGTATTAGGCATGGCCCACGTAGCGGCTTTGCATATGTCCGTTAGGGGAACTTCCTGGAGAAAGACAGTGGAAGCAGCAACAGCTCGGGTTGAATGGGCCCGGATCGGGCCAGGAAATGGCTGTTTCGCAATTAGGTAGCAGAGGCGGATGAGCCCCGCAATCCACCTTGAGAGGCGCTGAGCCGTGATGCGAGTCACCAGCCTTGCTGGTGCGTAGCAGACGAACAGTTGGGAGTCACATCTCGTTGAGCGGGTTCTGTTCAGGTAGAACAGGAGAGCACGTTTCAAATCCAAGGTGTATAACAGTCTATCCTCTAAGGATGTCGGAGCCGGGAAGAAATTTAGGAGGAAGACCTCTGCCTGTAGGTGGAATTCTGACACTACCTTTGGCAGGAACGAGATGTCAGGTACAAGTCGCGAGTGGCTCAAAGGGTTTCCTCGTGAGCT